AACCACAAGTTTCTGTGTTTAAAACTAAGTAGGGCTTTATTTTGACAAAAGGTGCAAGACCTGATATGCAGATTCCTCAACTTCACAAATCTGTGTCACCACTTATCTGTTTGAGCATTAGCAAACATGAGCAAATACAGTGTAGTAAAGTGTTCAACACTTGTGGAAATGACTGAAAGATTGATATTTTGTTCATTGGTTAAAAAGATTGTTATCTTTTTAGAACTGTTTTTTTAACAGATAGTTTATCAGGATGCAAAATTTCTATTCTGGCTTTATTTTTAAAGGAATTATCATGTGTTTTGTAACAGACATCTTGGGAAAAGACAAAACTATTCTGAATGTGAAAGTATTAGCTGGCAATGAAAATGATATGTACAAGAATTTAAAGTTCCCTGATTTCTGAGGAAAATAATTCTTGGTGGCTCTTACCATCCAAACTTTTCATTATGACTTTATTTTTTAAGCTCCTTACTTTAAACTGATGACAGTCAACCAGTTTCCACAAAATTTATTTCCTACAACGGTAATTGTTTTTGTTATCTAACCTGCAGATTCTTTGTTTGTTTTCAGTACACTGAATGAAAGTTTCAACAGTGCAGACTTTACCTTCAGGGACCGTGCACCAACATCACCAAGTAGAGAGGAGGTGAAGGCACAGGCTTTTGAACGACTTCAAGAGGAGCTTAAGAAAGCTCAAGAGGTGAGGGCTTTTTAAATACACTAATCTGGACACATAATCCTTGTGTCGGTGATAATTGCACAAGTTCTCGTGGCTGACATTTTGTCACTCTGTCCTGAAAACATGCAATAACAATCATGACATTTATCAACTTCATAATATACTTATAGAGTTGAGTTTTTGGATATAAAATTTTTTGCTAAATTTACAAGACTGGGCAAAGGAAGGAACTTTCATCATCAACTCTTTCTTCCTAAAGAATGGAATTCTTTTCTCTTTGAGAGATGATGAACTCTCATCATCTCTCAAAGGAACTCTCAAGCTTTCACCTTTGTGATTGAAAGGGTTAAGATATATGCATTATTAACTAAGTGTGAGGTCAAGATGGCTGGATGTTGGCCGAGTTCATTTTTCACATTTTTATGGACGAAGACTTCGTCTGCATCCATAAAAATGTGAAAAAAGAACGAGGCTAATATCCAGCCATCTTGACTGAACAAGCTTGGTTAATAAAGGATTTATTATATTGCAAAAAGATTTTGCTTTAATAAGAATTAGGAATGATTTGTTTATTTTGAGAGCCTAGAAAGAAAGCCAACTGTGTATGTAGTACAACAAACTCGTGAGAGTCATTTCTGTTTTCTATGTTTTGACTATCTTCTGCTGCTTTTTGCATTTCCATCATCGAAATTGTCTAAGAATTATGAACATAGTTCTAATTCAATATTTTTTTGCAAAGGATTAATGCAGGTAATCCTGAGTGGTCAAGATGGGCTCATCTTGCCCACTCGGGTAGCCAATCAGAACACAGGATTTGCTTTATCTTGTCCATGGGTGTTGTGAAGGATGTAGTAAATACCATTATAAGACTTGAAAGACTGCTGTTAAGCCTATAACTCTTTTAGGTTCTAAACAGACATTTCATGATTTTAACATGATTGAACTCTTAGTTGTTACCAGGCCAAGCGAGTGATCTTGTTCGGCCATGTGTATGATAAATTTTGTTCTCAAGATTGTGAATGTGAATCTTTTTCATTCTATCGATTTCGATGAACATTTTTCAGTTATTTTGAGAAGGAACCCTCAGATTGTTTGTAAGTGTTCGACATTTCGATTTATTTGAGCTTTGTATACTTTCATTTTGCTTTATTTTGCTTTGCATTTGCAAGTTTTGATTGTGTAATTCTACTGTCAGAAACATATTTGTATGCCGTTTATTTGATGAACCAGGATTAAAAGACTCTAAAATTAACCGATCGATTCAGTGGCTACAACTCTCAAGATCTGATTTTTAATTCTCCCCTCTAGCTTCCTCAATTTCCTTGTAAATTTAGTCAGAGTTTAGATTTAAATCAAGATAACCTCTAGCTGATAAGTTTAAGTATTCTCATTACCTTTTTTCTGATTATTGTATGGAAGTTATAGAGGAAGTAACTTGTTAATTATGTCTGGGAGTTAGGGTTACAATGTAAATCATCTGGCTCCGGTTGTTTGAAGGATGGATAATGCTATACACTGGATAAATCTCTATCCGGTGGATAGCGCTGTACGTTTTGGTAACACTTATCCGCTGGATAGCAATTTATCTGTTGGTTAGCGTTATCTGCCCTTTGAAAAACCTGACCCTGGAGTAGATTTTGATCCATTTTGATTATCAGTTTCAGACCTGTTATTTTATAGTGTTTGGGCACTGACACCTGTACACTTGTAACTGGTTTATTTATTCAAGCTTAATGATATAATTCTGTTGTTGTTTCAAAAAAGGAGCTCAAACTGAAAGACGAACAATGTGAAAAACTATCAAGAGTAAGAAATCAATTGGAATCAGAGTTAGAAGAACTGACAGCAAGTCTGTTTCAGGTTTGTTTGGAATATACAACTATGCATTTAGAATGAAGCTAACTTGAGTGTTACTCTTCTTATTTGGAATTTAGATCAAATAGCTAATATTAGATATGTCATTGTATTTTAATTAACAATGTCTTCAAAGTCATTCATTGGATTATTTTTTTCTTAAATTTAACAGGAGGCTCATGCTATGGTTCGTGCAGCAAATGTTAAAAGGGCTGCAGCAGAAAAGAGGTTCAAAGAAGCAAATAACAAGGTTGGTGGAAAACTACTTGTGTTGTTTTAATCTTCAGTATTCCATTTATAAATCAGTTTTTTGCATGAATAAGCATGGTAAGGTATATTTTGGAATACTCCAGATCATTACCACAGATATTTCAATGCACTTACAGCTTCAAGTGCTGAATTATGCAAGTTTAACCTCCTGAAGGAATCAGGATACAGTCTGATTCAGGTTGGAACAAGGATTAAGACTTGTCATCCAAATCTGTTTACTTATTAGATTATGTCTGTCAGACTTCATTAATGAGTACAGAAAGAACAGTGAGATTTTTAAATGAAACAAATTTCATCCCATGCTGTTATTACTAGGTTGAAGTCCTTCAAGCAGAAGTGTCTGCTCTCAAACAGTTAGTGTTAACCTCCACATCATCACGGGGTCATTCTAGTGGAATCAGCTGGCGACGACACAGTGATGAACACCTCAGCCCATGTCCAGATTGCAACTCATACAATTGTGATGCTGCTGTAACAAGGTTAAATGGAACATGTTTGCATGGGTCACAAAATGGAAATGATCCCCCTTCAGATGAATCAGAGGTTGGTACAAACTTTTTGTTTCTATTTTTGTGATTGTATTGTAGTTTTGAGTCCAGTTTTGATGTATTGGGAAAATCCCAGGAATTGAAGTCATAAACAAAGGATTTTTGCAAATGCACAGGGAATAAATATATCCTTAATTTTTTTCATCTGTTTATTCAATAATGACTTCCTAAAGTAGAGTTTCCAGGGGAAGCATAACAAAAATGATGTATATGTATATGTATGGTGTATGGTGTATGGTGTATTGCGTGTTGGGGGTAGGAGACGTTAATTTCTCACGCACGAGATTACTGTGTGATGGATGTCCTTCCCTGGGGTGGGATGGGTGGGATTTATTGGGTGGACTACTAGCATGGTTTGCATATGTTCCATTCTAGTCCTACCCCACTGCAGTAATGCAGTGAAAAATGGTTAGGAAAAAAAGTATATATCAAACCATACATGTACCAAGATTACTGGTACTTTTCATGCATCCATTTCCAGGCACCAAAAAATATCTTCGAAGCAATAAACCCCCTCTTTGCCGTAGTTCAAATTAAAGTTACAAAACAACTTTTAATTATTTTTGTTTTATCTACTCTATTTTCATCTTTTTCTCAATCTGGCTGTCTTTTTTTTTCTTTTTTTGAAGTTCTTGAATATTCAAGCAGGTATGTAAATTATCTTCAGGTGGATGTGATCCTTTTCCGAGAATTTTTACAATGGATGGATGAACGTTCTGTTTCACATGATCAGCCATTTTTAGCCAGAATTTACAAAGAAGATGTTGGACCATGTTTAGATTTTCCTAATAAGGAGGTACTGTATGTGGTTACTGGGGAGGTAGACTGTACATTGTAGCATTGATTTCTTAGTTATTATTAAATGGCAAAAATTGATTGTCTTTGCTTCAGCTTTTTTCAACTAGTTTAGCTTTTTTTCAACTAGTTCAGCTAGTCATTTTTGGAAGTGTTTAAAATTGGCTTCCTTTGCTCCCTTCACTTGAATTAAAGAAGCAATCACCAATGAATGATATAAACGTTTCATGCTTTTTTTAGGGGACAGCTTTAGAGTGGCTGTTCCGACTCATTTTGTTTGGATGGCATTGGAATTTGGACTGTCTTTTTGCTTGTTTTTTTTTGTTTAGTTTTGTTTTTGGTTTGGGTGCATCGGCATCTGCCATAAACCCTTTTGGAGCAAACATCAAGCCTAATCCATGTGCGTCTGACCCTGGGGGTCTTTGGAAAGGGAATTGATGCTTTTCAACCCTGTGCCAGTCCTGCCATCCTTTTTACTTTCTTAATCCCTACTTTATCTTATTTGAAGAATTTTGGCAGGATCATTAAAAGCAGGAGGTGTAGGGTGCATCTCTTATGTCAGTAAACTGCTGTCAGTTTATTGCAGAGATTGTGACCACATCACATTTTACTGGTTGTGTTTTTTAGCTTGCATTAGCTGTACACAGTGCTATTGAAAACAATACTTTAATGATGGAGACATTTAGTGGCAAACCAGTGTTCAGGTACGTTTCTTTGTCTTCTGTCATTTTATGTCCATGGTTGCAAAATGAACCACATCATTTTGTGCTATACTTTTCCCTTTTATGAAAATATATTTTTTTTTTGTTTTGCCCTCACAATAGCCCATTTCCGAATTACCCTTGGCCTCTTTTTCAAAACGAGGCCTGGTGCTCAACCATTCTTGTGAAAATGAGTTTAATTTGCATGTGAATGAAAATTTATTATCATATGAAAGGATGAGCACCAGGACTCGTTTTGAAAATGAGGCCAACGGTAATGCTGAAATGGGCTATTGAGATTTATATTGGAATGCATAATTTCTGATGCTGACTTTTGTATTAAGTAAATTTTAGTACTTTTTATTGTGTGGCTTAAATCAACGTGAGGGTATATGTATGTACATGTATATTACTTTCATCCCACATGAGCGTCTTAATACCTAAACTTAATTCTCTTTTTTCTGATTATATTCTTTTGGTGGCATTAAGTGAGAAACGATGATCGTTTAGTGTAAGTTACTTCAATCATTTTTAGTGCAACATTACAAAACAAACAATAAAAAGAAAAACTGCATCCTAGATTAATTCACTGTTGACTATTCCTCTCGTCTATTTTGTTTCTCTCTTTGTTGTGCAGGAAGTGCGCGCTCACAGGAACGTCTCGATTTTGTCTTCATCGTGTGAAGTTATCAGAAAAAGGTGACTGGTATAACCTGAGTCGCAACAGTAGAGTCAGGGTGAGTAGTAATCATTTGAGGAAAAATGCAGTTTCAGTGAAGTTGTAAAACTTCAAGGGACAACGAAGAATAACTGATCAAAGAGCATACAATGAGTTGTGGAGTGGTGCAAACGTTTCATACAGTGTATAATTATTCAAGATTGCAGTCATAGACAGCAAAGAATTGTGTATGATTTTTTCTATAGCCTATAATAATAATAATAATAATAATAATAATGATAATAATAATAACATATTTAACCAGGGTAAACCCATCAGCAGAAGCTGTTATTAATAGGTGCCCTGGGAAACAAAAAAATAGATTCTTTTCTCCTTTCCCTCTCCCAACCTTGAGTGGCTCATGTAGAAACTCTCAACTCTTGTGGACAATTTCAAACGTGGAGCCTACTTGCAGGCTACTGTTGGTAACTTGGGAGCTTTATCATAGCTTTGAAAGGCTTCAGTATTTTATCAGCTGTTTGCTGAAACAAGACGACTTACCCCTCCCTACCCGCAATTTTTTTCTTGTGTTAGATTGTAGCAGTCTGTGACTTTTACACTTATATGCGGTACATCCAGCAAGGACTGGTGAAGGCAGACGGTAAGTCTGAAAAACCTTTAACCCCTGGTGGCTTATGGCTACGTTTGTAAGAAATATACTCTGCACTGACAACGGCAACATCAACCATTACAGCAAACTATAAGAGTAAAAGCAACAAAAATAACAACAGAAGTGAAAAAACGTAAAATAGAGCAAAATTCGGGGTGATTAAAAACAAGTGCCGCTGAAATCATGATAGATCATTGGTCGGTTTTACCGTTAGATCATTAGTTTCAATGAGATCATTGGTTTCCTCCAAGAATGAGATCCCACAATTCTCAAGTTATTGCCATAGGGATATTTTTCTGTTCCCATCCGCAGACTTGAATTTTACCGAGTTGTTGTTATATGCGGGCTGTTTGTGGGTTAAACGTGCCCTTTATTTCACTCTCTGTCTTTCTCTCTCTCTCTCCTCTTCTGCAAGGCCAAATCTTCCTTGCGTCTTGAAATTTTGTAGTGCTTTTGTAGTATTGGACAGGGCAGTAGTGTTCACATGTGTGAAAATGTCATCGTGTTTGAAGTATGTTTCATCTTTGTTACAACTTGCAGTACAATTTCATTAACTGTTGTATTGATTTTGTTATTGTTTGTTTGTTTGTTTTTTTATTTTTTATTTAATTACTAGTAACCGAGATATACTGGGAGCTAATGAGATTGAGGAGTAAGATGGCACTCGCGCGGTTCGGAATGGAGGGCACAGTCAAGATTCAAAGGAGCAGTGGTCACTCATAGCAACGCATGCTCTCTGGTTGAGATATCTTACGGGATCCGTAAGTTTTATATCAGGGCTCAGACAAAAGTAAAATTGTATTTTCATGTGAAGTGACTAAGCATACTGTGACTCTGAGCAGCTGTTAGGAAGCAATGTGGAAATGAATTTTACTGAGTGGTCCTAATAAAAATGAGTCGCTAAAGACTTCAACAGAATTTGTAAGACTTCAATATTTCAATTATTGAAATTATCAAAGTATTTATGCTTGCATTTTGTGTTAATGTAATTGAATACGTCATTTAAGGAGTTACAAAGTTAGCAAAATTCGCAAATTTGTGTAGGGAGTCTTTTTATTCACTCAAGCAAAATTACTCAAATTTTAAAATATTTTCAAGTGTAGAATTTGTGATTTTTATCGCCAAAGGACGGTGCTCGCGTGGGGATATTTCATTTAGAATCAAGTTATTTAACGTATTCTTGTAAAATCAGTGTGTATTATTATTTTAGAGCACTGGTATTACATATTACTCCATCACTGACAGAGATTGATGGACAAGAATTCTTAGAAACTTTGAAAGGTGGATTTTCACGAACGAGAGGTTTTCTTAGAGTTGTCGTGCGATTTTAATGAGTGATGTTGAATTTGAGGCCAGGAAATGAATATATATATATAAATAACTCATCAAACAATTTTCTTAAGATAATTTTTTATCAGTAGTTTCTATTTTTCTATGAGGAGGCCCTTCAGTCTCATTTGTACATAATGACAGAATCTTTTGATGATTTATCCAAAAGAAATAAACCTTCAAGCTTGACGTTGTAGTCAATGTACATGTTTGTTTATGTCTAAGTTACTAATAAGTAGTCCGGTTGGTATATTTTTGTTGACTAAATATTGTTGCTGTTATCGTTGTTGTATTTTAGACAAGCTTCAGAGTTCTGCATTTACTTTTCAGTGTGCAGACCTTCCAATATACACAGTAGAAATCTTAACTCTCTCTTTTTGGGTTCCTGTCTTTGAAATTTTCTTCCGTAATAAAAGATGCTGTATTTGTGGCCAGCGTAGAACGAAGTAAAAATGCGAGTTCTCGCAAGTACTCGAACCTTAGACTGTTCTGATTGTCTCACCTGAGGCACCATCAATTAATCTTTGACAGAGTAATCGTCAGTGATTCCGGCTATTTGCAATGCGTCATGTTTTTATTGCAATAATCATCATCATTATCAATACCATTTTTGCTATTATAAAAATATTACTTTAATTATGATTTGTCTTACTGTTATTGTGGCTATTTATGCCACAGTTGTAATTGTTATTATTTATTTGATGTAATATCAGTTAGGATTTTTCATTTTGGAGACCTCATTTAAGTTTTACCCTCGTGTATTACAATCAACCTCTTTTTTCGCCTTGCGGATTTTTAATGACAAGCCATATCCTAATGTTCTTATTAAAATCGGACTGCTATGAATAATTCTTGTTTATTATCGGATAGTAATCGTCAATGGTACAAGTGTTCAGTGTTGCGGTGTGGATGTTATCTTTATGGTGAGCCGGTTTTATTGTGCCGACTCCAATACTCCGAGTCCTTCTGGAACAGATTTGCGGTTCAAATAACTCTTTGTTAGCTTTACCACTTTGACAGGTGTTAATTTAAAATCATAGGGCCGTTAAATTGTAATAATATTGTTCTCAAAAGCGAACTTTACACGAGCTTCTTTCCATTTTGCATCACTCAACTTGTTACCTTCTTTGGAATCAATATTATGATCGTTACACGCCCTGTTCGTCCTTAAGAGAAGCTGTTAATTCATTCGCGTCGCGTGAAATCGTAAACACTGCACTAGAACGCACAAAAACAAATTTATGGCTGCATATCAGGTAAAGCCTTAAAGTAATAGCTGAGGAAAATGAGTTGGCCGAAACATTGGGGTATTAAAGTTAAAGCACAGCGGTTAACTCCCCAAGAACTTGGAGTTTTGAAGTTTCCTATTTTTATTAAATTTGTTACATACATTTTCCATATAGCTGTAATTTCTATTTTTTTTTCCTACCACAAGAGATGTGAGTGATGAATTCTCGAAAATTTTCATTTACCATTATTTAAACACTACATTGTAGAAACCTATCTGTACCCATCCGTGTTATCTTTGACATTGTTGCTAAGAGAAAAAACAAAAACCATCGCGAATCGTCTTTCTTATTGTTAGATTTGTGGTTTAGTCGTCGTTTTTGTGATTTTCGAAAGAGATTTACCCTTTCTTTTGTTTATTTTTGTGGAAAAAAAAAAAGAATAGGAAATAGATAAAAAAGTTTCAACCTGTATTTCAAATGATTTGCATGACTAACTTTTTAGTACAATTTTTTTGAACGATGCTTTTAGTTCTTTTACAAGTCTCGTTTATAATTTGTAATCAAGCGAACAAAAACAATAACAGCTAACAGTGCACTGAGCACAAACTGTATATCTCACAAACAAGAGACGTACAAAAAACTTACGGCTCTACACGTGGTCGCAGATGAACGTAATGGGTATTAGTTCCCAGTACATTGTTGGAGGCTCTAAAAAGATCGCTCAATTGTTACCGTAAGACTATTAGCGTGTTAATTTACCTCAGAATCTCCTCGATCATTTTACATTTTATCGACCCCACAGATCTCACTCTCTGACAAATCTTTATTTTGGTAGAATGTTGTAATTCGTGATAAGTCCATTATTAATTAAACTGGGGATCGCGGCATCGATTTGTACTTGATTAGGGATAGCTTCCCGCTTACACTCTCTTGGACAATTATATATCCGTTTTGTCAATACGCTGTGACAGGAACTCTAAGTAAGTACAACGCGCACAGTTGGTTTTTGCCGCCCTTTTTGTCATTTTAAATGATATTTCTAAGAATGTAGTATATTGGAGGTACTTTGATGGAATATGATATCACTTCTCTGAGCAATAAATACCCTTTTTAATGCGTTATTTCTCGAGAGTGAGATAGTGCAGTTTGGAAAGGATTCTCGGTGATTATCCTGTGAAAGATCTCCAAGCAGGTGTTTGTGACAAAAGAAAGCAGAAAATCATTTGCAACGACGTGAATGCAAATTGTAGTTAGATATTAGCGCACTCTACTTAGTTCTGCGACGGAAACATGCAGTGTGTGGGCCTGGAGATTTCCTCTGCCAATTTAAGAAAAAACAGATGAAGGTGTTTCACAATTCTGTGGTTTGTTTCGTTTATTCAGTCATTGTTAAGTCCAGAGCAAGCAGACTAAATATGTTTCCCGACGAGGATTCGGGAGAGTCTGAAGGAAGATAATAAATGGCACTGCCGCGGTAATATGTCAGACGCGTTTGATAATTCAGCCAATCGTATATGCGACCACTGACGAGATCGACGTATCATAAACAAAGCTTATTTTGTAATTGTTTTCGCAGGTGAAAATATCGCTCCAGAGACAAATCATTCGTGCAGAGTTAGGTAGATACAGTCACGTAGAAGCAACGCACCGAGCGCGGTGTTAGAAACGGAAAAAACGCGGGCATCACAACCTGTAAATGGTGCTTTAACGGTTTGCCCGCGCGGATTTGCCGCGCTGACATCGCCATATGTTCAGTAACATTACTTCAGAGTATAAAGAGCTGGGCCTTTCCCCAGGATTTAAGATCTCTATAATAATTGTGCTGGGGTTGGAAATAATTTTTGGTATTTGTGCCAGCTGCACTGTTTTGCTGATATACTGGAACAAGAGAAGTGTTCGGAGCGTAGCAACAAAGTTCATCGCAAACCTTGCTCTTATTGACTTAATAATCTGCTGTGTTTGTGTTCCGTTCACCATCGCTCGCGTTTCAGGATTTGCTTATCATTCTGCACTGTTTTGTTGTTGGCATGAGGCTGTTACATCAGCTCTGAGAAATGCGTCGTTTATAACTTTACTGCTGATTTGTTATGACCGTTACAAATCAGTAACGAACCCGTTTGTGTTAAGACTTACCCACCTCAAAGCCAGGCGCGCTGTTATTTTGGTATGGTGTTTGAGTACTGTTAGTGTTATAGCACCTTTCCTTGAATGGCGTTGGAAGGCCAAGACATTCTGGTCTTCTGCGTGTATTTTGATGTTTAGCGAGTCAAAGGAACCCTGTTTTTTTCGCCTGTATTATATGCCATCGTTTTTATTGTCATGTACGATTCTGCTTCCCGCCTACTTGCGAATATCGAAGGCCGCCTTCTCCAGAGTGCACATACAAGCCATGATGATTCGAACGTCGTTCATTGTGCCTGCGACGTTTACGCAAAGGCGAAATGAGGCAATGGTGCGTCAAAAAGAATGGAAAATCGCCAAAATGACTGGAGCAGTAGTCTGTTCTGTGTGTGGATTATGGTTGCCATACACCACGTTAACATTCTCCATGTATTTTATGAGGCCCTCTAATCTATTGGTTCGTTTAGAGTTCGTGTTTTTGGCTTTTGGTTACTTCAACTGTGTCTTGAATCCTTTATTGTATGCGTTCACAAAAGAGAAATTTCGCACTGCGTTTTGGAGAACTTTGCCTTGCAAGAAATAACAGGTAGAGCGGATAATCAACTTTGTGCTCGTTTTCAGTCCCAATTTACCAACTTTATCTTTGGTTTGTTTACTGTAAGGTTTTTTCTTAATCGATGTACTTCCCTAGTGGCCTTAAATGCGGAAGATTATCGAAAGGAGTTGAAAAGTTGAAGCACCTCTGCGCTTTTCACAGTTGAGTTGCTTTCCGTAAGAAATTTATAACCGTGCATTAACACACGTAAAATTAACGTATATTTACTTTTCTACAGGACTTCGTTTCCTTTCGAACAAGTCTGGTTCTTACACTATTGTAGTCGGATTTCTGTGGCTCAGTGTCTTTATACGAACAATAAAGAAATTTGTGTCCACACAAAGCTGCAATTTTTTTCATATCGTATTTCGGGTCGTTCGTTGACAAAACGATGAAAAATGCAAATCGAGACCTAAAACACGTACACACATAATCCGAGCAGATGGCATTTGAAAAATAAACTTTCATTTTTCCCTCGATTTGCATTTCGGTGGATTCATTAAATAATAAATTAAACGCTTTTCATTTATTTTGAAGATTTAAATAATTTTTAGCCGACTACGAAATAGGTTTTTTGGCACTTTTTCGTCCGCACTCTATACGATGGGGCTTTATTGGATCTCGTCTTTAACAAATTCGGTCATTCGTTCCTCCATTGTGACGCGCGAGATAAACATTATAGGTCGTAGTTGTGCACTTGTTACGGCAGAGAAATGGCGAAGATGTAAAACACACAGAAATTTGAAACCCGTGTATCGATTGTACCTGTTAAAAAGAATTGATGGAATCGTTACTTTTGCAATAAAAGGTTTGAAATGAGACCTTTTGCGGGAATAGGTCAGTAGTTCAGTTGTTCAGTTTACAAATAGGCGTGAATTATTAAGCGGCAAACTGAAGCAATTACAGATGCACCTGACGTCACAAGTGTGCTTGGAGCAATTGATATGAAGTTGTTTCAAAGGGGAAGGCTGCGCCGGTTAATTTGCTGTCAGGATGGAAGGTCAGGTAAAATATTAAAAAGAAAAAATGCGAGAGTGGTGAAAATAAAAACAATAATTATATAAACATCACGAAAAAGAGTTTCTCTCGTGCACGACATTTGTGGTCGTGTAATGATTTTGTTTGTTAGACACGCGCAAATTATTTATTTCAATTTATTTTTGAAATCTTTGTTGTTCCCTGTGGTTGATTATTTGAAATTTACTCAGTATTCTTATATTTGAAGAAACTACTCCTTTTACCTTTTATACTGAGATGAGAATTTATGCACAGATCTCTTCCTCGTGACCGTCGTAACGGAAAATCATCGGAATTTCTCGGGTGATACGTAACTCTAGTCGTTCGATCAATTTATGAAAGGTATGAGAGGCATTCTTCGCAAATCGTGGGTAGACTCTGGTTTAATGGCACCTCAATTATTTAGAAGATGTAATTTAAATAGCGCACGTTGAAGCTCAGCAATGCTTGTTAAAGCTTCGCCACCTTTAAAAATGAACTCACCCAAAATGCATTGCGTTTCCATTTCTTTGTCACCATCTGTACAATTTGGTTCTTGCTGGCTAAGTCGATTTTACTAAAAATATGATTTTTGTGTAGATTGTCCTATTACGGCGTAAATCGACCAACCTTGTTCATGTTTTTGCGGTTTGGCATCGCTGACGGAAATGCATCCTCCATGAGTTCGCTAATTTTGAAGGTTGTCGCATAGCAGTGATAATTATGTTGACTTTTAACGAGTTGAAATCAATTCACCGCCGTTAAAAAATTTTTCAACTAAGTCAAATGTAATCTTGGACGGCATTGGTTTAGCTTCACTTCACTCAGGAGTGATTAGTCCAGAAGAATTGCACCAGCCTCTAAACCAATCACATACAAAACTAAAGCTAATTGTGTTTCCATGTCATCCGAGTATGAAGGAATGTTTCATGCTTTATTTTGTTGTAACGTTTTTCTCTGTGGCTTCTTTTGCCATTGTTGTTTTTGTTTTGTTGGTGCATTTGTGTGTATCGTAGTTCACGGAGTGTATAAAGGGTTTGCAATCGGTGTAAAACTGACGCTTTTACCACAGGACAGCACAGGACAACACAGGACACCACAGAAAGGCTGATTGTCGTTCGGCGGGACATGCAGCGCACCTGTTTGCGCGTCGGAAAACCTAAGAGTACAGACCAACAGTATTGTCGTTCATTGTTTTTGTTTTTCAGTTCTTGTCACCTGTCAGGAGCCCATTACCCAGAGAATGGGCTCCTGCATGAGCCATACGCTTTTCAATAACGACTATTGAGTCTAACTTAAAAATCTGCATTAGTTTTTGAATGCGAGACACTAACACACGGTCAAACATTTGTACTACGCGACTGAATTACTGGCTGTGATTTAACCGTATAAGTCTCTGTCGATAAACAGGGGAAAAAATTATGCAGTCAACTGTCCAAGGTGGGTTATTACTTCAAAGCTGCTAAGGATTAAGTGTAACGATTGTCCGCTTGACTGAGTGTTTCAAAAGGGCTCTAGAGGATTCTTAGACTCCTTTGGTTTCTCTTTGCAATTGTTTTGTCTGATTTTTTTTGTCGTAGTTCTATTTTGTTGGTATGACTATACGATGAACTGTTTACTCCTCTTTTTCCTCCGTGAAATTTGTTATGGTACTAGTTGGGTTTTCATTAAGACAAAGGTAATTTATTACGTGATCTGTTTTTCTTTCCTTATGGAACGCTGAATGTTTTTGGCTTGATCGTTGCGGGGGAAGTAAACTTTTGAACAGCTAAGTAATTTCCCAATTGCTGAAATTACGTGAGTAAGCACATTTAATTCGCTTCCTGTGACTGAAACATTTTCCTTTTTGAAGTGGAAGTGTGTTTTAAGGTAACCAAAGTAATTTGTTCAAATATCCAAATATCACATGGATGATAAAGCGTATTTTTTTTTCCTTCAACGCACATGACGCATGCGATAAACCGCAGGTCATGGCAGTTGCTTGAAGTTCATTCTACAACTACTAAGATGAAATAAAAAACTCGGTCTATTCTGAAGATGATTAAAAAAAGAGATTGTTTGTGATGGAAATGGATTAAAACGTGTTGATTCTTTTGGACCCTTACTACGTTTAGCGGTTTTTCTGTTGAGCAAATATCAGGCTTGACTGGTCGGATGAACAGTTCACTATGTCAACATCGTCAATTTTCTTCTGCGGGGTTTTAATAATGGCCTCCCACTTCTAACCGTAATTCTACCCTTTCGCGAGTGTAGAGCGTGCAAATGTTTACAATGCAATCCTTAAACGTGCAAATATGTTGCAAAAATAAAACATTAGCAATTGATGAGCAGCATAGGTGAAAACTGCAGTGTCAAACGCTAAACTGCCAGTGTCAAACCCTAAACTGCAGTGTCACGGTGAAGAGAGAGGGAGAAAAAATTATGCTGACTCCTAATACATCATGGCGGTTCTCAAGATGAGCTATTGTTTCTAGATCGGAAAACAGTGCACAGTAAACAGCTTGCTCTTGTGGGAAAATTACTTCTTACGAAGGCAATTAACCCGATATTATTCTCATGTTAATTTCGTGTTTTTACGCTTCATCGAGTTTTTTGTGACGAAGCTGGAAGCTAATATAATCTTAGATATGCAAGCCTTATAGAACATTCCTGACACCGAAAGAGCCACGCAGTTTGTTGCTAAAACTCTTCGCGAACATGGATCCCGCAGTATCTGAGGAACATTTGAAAAAGTGTCGCTGGATCAAGGTGAACTGGGCATGGACCAAAATCGGCAGAGTAAACCTTGGAATTTTCTTGAGGTTCAACCCAGTAGTGAGTATTTTGTCGTCCTTTTTTATTTGGGGCTTCGTAATTTGGTGCATGGTCGAGTCAGAAGCCGCGAGCAAAGAGATGGGAATTTGGAAGATGTGGATCACGGAGAAATTCACCTGGATGTACATCGGAACCCAGGACATTTGGGCTGTGATCATTATAATGCTGTACTTCTCTAAGTTCGCCAACATGAAGCTGGGAAGGGACGACGAGGAGCCGGAGTTCAGTGACGCATCCTACTTTACGATGTTGTTTGCGGCGGGTATCGGAATTGGTTTGTTCTTCTTTGGAGTTGGTAAGTCAGAAGTAAACATCAATATTTTACGTTTCACACAATGCAAATGAACCACTTGTTGCATAATCGTAAAATATTGTTGAGTGAAACCTTCCATCTAATGACGTATAACGTCTTACTGAAGTCTTCAAACTATCTAGAAATTTTTTAGATAGTTTGAACGCTTCAGTAGCTCATTATAAGCTCAAAGAATACAAACTTTAAGATAAGTGTATTCTGACGCAGATGTTTTCCGATGCCCTTTTAGACTTTTCAGCCACGGATTAGCCCAACACACCCATTTGAACAGGGTCAAGGAGCTTGGTTTTTATGTTGTTTCGGAACGCGTTGCACAAAAATATGTTGCTTTTGTCGTTTTTTCATGTTTAGTTCTGTTTCGATGATCGGTAAACCTTTGGAAACAAGGTTACCTTAAGGACAACGGGAAACAACTTAGATATTGTATATCAGTGAACATTTGAAAAGAAATCCGCAAGATTGAAAACTCGGTTTTTTTTTCCGAAGCCTTATTTTTTTGTACGAAAGAGTTACATTGTTACCTTCAACGGTGTCAGCTGATGTAATCGTAGCGAAAAAAAACACCTCTACGAACAGATGGCTGAAAGAAAAAATTTACTGAAGGTAACAAGAGTTAGATCTGCTTGTACCCCATGTTACTTGTGTAATATTTCGTACCATTATTCAAGTATTTGTTTTAAAAACAAATTCTCTCAGAAGTCTATTTAGTTTTATAGAGGTATGATTGTAAAATTACGCAGTTTGGAAAACCTGCAACGGACTGCCTTTTGTGACCTGCAGCTGTTTGGATTTCGACGCATAGATTTTTAGGAGGCAATTAACGGACAGTTTGGCGTAGTGGTTTTGATTTGAATTGAGAGAGTAAATAATTCAATCATTTGGCCTATGATGACAAAAGACTGTGAATAATGTTTGCATGCGCAAGCGATGGGTTTTAATCTTCATTGTCTCCAAATATTAGAACGCTGAGCCCAAGAAATGAAAACTTTGTCTCCGTGGACGGAAATTCGTTCCAGGTCAATGCCGCTTTTGACTCTTTGCCTGTTCCTTTCCGTTTGATGTCTATTTTATTTAAGGATAAGGGTTAAAAAGTGATCAAAATGTAGGGAAATCAACAGACGCCTTCATTAAATCGGTGATATTTGGATTAAAGATTCATGTGATGATCACACGTAAAGCGTGTGATGGTCTGTGCGCTTCGTGATAACTTAATCCGGGTAGGAACTAGTGTTGGTATGCAACAAGAGAAAGAATTTATCGATCATTTCCTTTGATCATTTTTACGTACTTACACTTGTTGAAACAACTGAAAATTAATATCAACTGTATCCTGGTATTTCTTTGTGTGGTTGTTGCCTGCTAATGACAGAAATAGCTAAAATACCTGTAGCCCACGCGAAGTGATTTAATGATGTTCACGTAAATTCGAGAATTGAAAAGTTTAAGTCAAAACAACAACACCATATTTTCTTGGTGTGTGAAAATTCATTGTTGTGATCACTTCTCGGACACAAAATTCGGAAAGATTCATAGAGTAGACTTTATCATTTGGTTTCCGAAATAACTTTACTGTTAGAAGGTTCCTCTGTTTTGCCGCAACATGTCAGAGAGCTATACTTTCTTATTACGCGATTGGTTGCTTGGTGACGTGAGTTAAATACACTGAAAGAGAATTAAACCCTTTGTTCTGCGTAAACATAACGGTTCAGTAGCTTGTCATCATTATCATCTTACTTTCAGTTGATTCCATCAACAGCTGGAAGGGAAAAAAAGAACACTTGATATTGGCCTTTGATATGATAATTCTGGCGAAGAACCAATTCTTATAGGTCAGCTTTGTAAGACGTGCAGAGGCATGCCAAGCTCTCCTTTTAGACCTTTCATACAAGGACATGCATGATCGTTACGATATTAGTCAAGGGGAATAGGACTCTGAAAGCCCGGAGGTCCAAATCAAGGAGGCTTGCATACAAATTTTGACCGAATAGATTTCCCTTTCTCACATTTAGAATAAAAACACTGTGTCCTTTGTGTCCCTTTCTATCCCCAAAAAAGAGGCAGGATAAACAGAAGACGCGCTTTGATCAGAAATTTTTGTGCGGGTAACCCCCAAGATGCCACAAGGCTATGATCATTTGAAAATACCGACGCCACAAACGAATTATTTATTAGAATCTTAGAAAAGGACAGTATTCCTAAGGCCCTTCTATATCTGCAGTCAGATCCATGATAAAATATGTAGTCTATTGAATGGGCACCTACAATTATGGCCACCTACAGTCATGGCCAAAAGTCACGAGACAGTTAAGAAAAGGATGTGCAAGTTACTCATCCTTTGTTTTCTAGACAGTACTTTCTCCCAGGGTTTTGGTTCCTTTGTAATCATTTGCCTCATTGTTGTCCTCTTTCTTACTTTTCAGCCGAGCCGATTTACCATTACGTCCCAGGACTTAATGGAAATCGTTATGTCAACAGGTAAGGTTTAATACATAGACTTGACTCTCACAGAGGGGTCGCCATATAGAAAGGAATCTCTCGAATCTACGTTGTCGTGCTTAACCCTGCAAGAGGCGAAATATTGACAGAATGTAATTAAGATTTGAAGAAAGGGCAGTACACACTTTATTAAGCGTTAAGTTTCACTCAAAAGAGAATCCGTTTTTGGGTTCCTGCAGAAACGAGTCTTACATTAACTTCATCCGGTTCTATACCTTTAGAAAGTACTTCTACTTTTTCTTTTAAATTTCTTTCTTTTGTCAAGGTACACGGACAACCAACAGGCACAAGATGCGATGAACCTGACCTTCTTTCATTGGGGAATCCATGGATGGATTGTGTATGTGGTTGTCGGTCTGCTTTTGGCTTTCGTGTGCTACAGGCAAGGCCTCCCTATGACCATCCGCTCCTGCTTCTACCCACTAATCGGAGACAAGGTATACGGATGGATGGGGGATGTCATCGACATCCTTTCCGTCGTGGGTACGATGTTTGGTGTATGTACAAGTCTAGGCTTAGGTGCCATGCAGCTCAACACCGGGATCCACCGTATCAACAAAGACATCGCCATTTCATCTACCAACCAGATCATAATAATTTGGTGTGTCACCGCTTGCGCTACAGTGTCTGTGATCACTGGTTTGAAGCTTGGAATCAGGCGACTGAGTGAGCTCTGCTTCTCCATCGGCATGCTTCTCATGCTTGTTGTCTTCTTTTACGACGACACATGGTACCTCCTGAACCTGTATGTGCAGAGTACCGGCTACTACTTTCAGTGGATAATACAGCTTGGCTTTCACACGGATGCTTTCGCACAAATGGGAAATTCCCAGGATGGGAAGGAGGCTGTCACGTGGATGGACACCTGGACCATCTTCTACTGGGGATGGTGGATCGCCTGGAGTCCTTTTGTGGGAATGTTTATCGCCAAAATCTCCCGAGGACGTACGATCAAGCAGTTTATCAATGCCACCATGACGGCGCCCATCCTGTACTCATTCTTGTGGCTGACGATCTTCGGTGGTGCTGGAATAAGAATGGAACGTAGAGCTTTCCACGCTGGCATCACCTGCGCGTCAACTCTTGGAGGTAAAAACTCTACTGATTCCGACAATGGCCTGTACCGTCTGTCCTGTCGCACAACTGATGACATGTGGTTTGATTTGATGGAACAGTATGGCGACATTGGCTCAGTGTTGTCCATAATTTCTCTGGCTGGCATTATTCTATATTTCGTGACGAGTTCTGACAGTGGATCTCTAGTTATTGACTGCCTCTCTGCAAATGGTGATCCAGATCCCCCAATTATTCAGCGTATCTTCTGGGCTCTTACCGAGGGCGCTACAGCCACAGCTCTTCTGTACGCAGGTGGTTCGGAAGCTCTAACAGCCCTGCAGACCGTTTCCATTGCAGCTGGGGTCCCTTACACCATACTGCTGTGTTTCATGTGCGTTGCCTTATGGCGCGCTGTCCAAGTCGAAGGTGGAGCCCTGGATCCTAATGGCCCGCAATTTTCTGTCGACCTTCTGGAGGTGTTCTCTAAACCCACACTCGAGATGATTATAAGTACCATCATCGCCGTATTTTTTCCATGGTTCCCCATGGGCCGTGCTGCACACAGGCTGAACGACTGCAAGGGGAGTCGAGTGCCATACATGCTGTCCTTGGCTATTCCATTCTACTTGTGGGTCCTGGGGATGGCCCTCGAACCTGCCGTAGAGGGAATTAGCTACCTGGCCTGGGCTGTGTTATTTGCGTTCTTCGCGTACGGCTCTGGAATCCGCTTGGGTATACGAGAGAGGTATGGAATCAATGGCAACATGGTTGAGGACTTCTTTGCTGTGATGCTGTTGTACCCTTTTGCAGCTTACCAGATGGATCAGCACATGAGCAATCCACCCATGTCCTTGGAAGAAAATGGCCTTGAAAAATATGACCACGGAAAAGGTGCTGCATACCAGAACCAGGGAGCTGACTTTCCGTTGGAGAAAGTGGACACTGCTTTTTAAAGAAATGCACGTTTTGCATGTTTTTCTGTTTGAGAAAAATGAATGACTTTTTTGCGTTTGGACTTACTTAGCTCAGTTGCGTTGTAGAAAATTTACATTTGTATAATGACAGGTTTTAATGTCCAATTAACTGCCAACGATTTTGAAGTCTAACCTATGTTTCTTTGTTTGTGAATGAAAGGAGAGAGCATGGGTTGTTACATGTAGACAAAACTCCTCTTTACACCGGCTCTAATTCTTTGTTTTTACGCTCCGTCAAGACCTTTCATTTGAATACCGTCTGCGATTATGGGGCTACCATAACAAAGAAGAGTTTCTTAAGTAGTGTAATAAGGAAACTACATTTTTAGATTTTTAATTTTAATCGAGCTGGTAAGCGAGTATAAGGCATTTGTCTTCCAGGACTATTCCTTTGAAAGTTGTCAAAATAGTTTGATGCGAACAAAAGATGGTTCCGTGAAAGCTAAATGAGCTTCAAAATATATTTTTCTCAAAGAGTGATCGTCTCGATTGTATAAGAGTTTAGGCAAATGATATCCATTTTGAAGTCATGCGATGATATGACCTAGTAGCGACGTACATTTTTTTCGTTATTACCCGATGAACACTTTCTTTAGTCAGAGACACTCCATTATATTTCAATCAGGTAGGATGTTAATATTCATTTCAAAACTTTGCTTAATAAAATGTTTTCTTAACTGCACAGATCCCTATCTCTTTGGAGCAAATTAGTTGGGAAAATCCGGAAACTACTTGTACTGTTCGCAAGGGAAACCTACTGCAACTAGAATTTATACGCGCTCTATTTGATGTTCTGCCCTGGTGGCGAATCCGTTTATGGTTAACTTATTGAGGCGGTCAAAACTAAAACAAAGTTACAAACAAAGAACTTTAAAATAAAGCTAGAGAAATAATTATAAAAAAAAAACGATCGATCGAAGTTCATTGACTGCACTTACATTTGTTACCAGGTTTACTTAAGACTGCACTGGATGCGACTATAACTAACGAGCGAAACAAAAAGAACAAACGATAAATTTTAACTCTAAATACAACTACGAATAAATTACATAACATTTTTGCATCGACACATTCCACGCGGGTGTTGAAAAAGTATAATAACATTCTTAAACAAAACAACATTCAAAAGGAAGACAAAAGAAAAATTGGAAGTGATCATTAAGTGGAGTTTGGTTCTCACACTTCTTTGTTAGGCAAATTGTTTGATTACTCTATCTAATTTTATAAGACAAAATTTTCAGTATTTTTGTCTAAATGACTTGCTCTAATGGTCCTGGGTCCGATTTACCTCTTGCGCCTTACTCGTGTTTTAATCGAAATTTCTCTCTTTAGTTTCCAACCAATATTATTGTTCTCTATATTTCTAGTCAAGATACAATCTCCCACCCCTCCCTACCATTTCCCTTTGTTGCCACTCGCACTTTAATTCACAGATGCGTTGTTGAAAAAGTTTCCACAGACTTTTTCCCAACATGTCGTGGCTGGATGCGGATGAAGGTGAGCGTGGAATCACAACTCCGCTTTTAAGGATCGTGCACAGGCTAGATGAAAATTGTTACTCTTAAGTGCACAATCATTTCGTTTCACTTCATCGTGTTTTTTTTTTTTTTTTTTTTTTTTGTTCCTTGACCGCAAGCGTCAAACTTTCTTTTCAGAATACACGTATACCAAAACAAGCTCCGGATAGGCTTTCCTATTCACCTCCAAGCAACTCGCGCAAGATTTGCGCCCGAAGATATTGTTACACGGATAAACGTCTCAAAATCATCTTATTGTGCCATATTACCCCATGGTTTTAGTGTATTCTAAAACAACTAGTCACCTCGGTGTCGGTGGTTAGTGGTGGATATTTACCTTGCCGCTTTGAGACTCGATACTAGCCCCCTGTAGTTCCCTGCCCACTCATCTAATGGATGGCTTGCCTGTGGTTGGGCGAAAAACACTGGAAACCAGTACAACATGGCTGCGAATAGTCTTGACACTTTATGGACGATGGGATGTAAATTGCTTATTCTGGTCCAAAAACTGGAGGAAACCAGTAGCTTAAATATCACTTGCCTTTCATTACATTTTTTCCCCTCTTGTTTGATGGTGTTTGAATGGACAAGTGGCGTCTAAGTGAGTAAAAAAGAGTTTGAAAAGTAGTCCACGTGTAACAAGCAGATCGTAATATGCGCACCTCAGGTAAGGAACAGACATAATTATCACTATCATAGCCTTTATTTGAACACAACAACCTTGAATCCGTAAGCTTTTGGAGTCGTACATCTAACGAATAAAAACTAAAGTGGTTATGAAATGCAGATAAAAAACAAAAACAGTTTGTCCCAGGGCTCGACACTAACTTTTCAACTTCCTAGCCAAGTGGCTAGTGACAACGTAGCTGTTACAACAATTTCAGTTTGTTTACTATCCAAACTGGCCAGTGAGAATCGAAAACCACCAGCCAAAACTGAATTTCTTCTAGTCTGTGGCTAGTTGGCTACCGTTAGCGTCAAGCCCTGATTGTCGTCTTAATCTTTCCTGATTGTAGTTACATTTAATAATGAGCATTATTATCCAAATGTGCTTCGTAGAGTACAAATAATGCGCAAGATGAGAACAAATATCACACAATATTTGTACTCCAGGCCCTGGTTGTTCAAAGGCTGGATAACGCTATACACTGGATAAATCTCTACCGGTGGATAGCGCAGTACGATTTGGTAACACTTATCCGCTGGATAGCGATTTATCCGTTCGATAGCGTTATCTGCCCTTTGAACAACTGGAGCCTGAAATATTTGCAATATTCGCAGATATTCCAAGAAGTTTGCCCTTCGCGCAACAATTTGGCATGTTGGGTAATAAATCTCTTATTAGACGTTTTGTTCTGTAGAATTGCTGAGTATTTTAACTTGTTGTTTGTATTTTGACTCGCCCTACAGGCTTGTCATTATATGGCACAACTTGTAAAAATAGTCAGCAATACTATGCAACAAAATGTCTAATGAGATATGTTTATTACATCACTCGCAGCGCCTGCGGGCAAGATGAAGCGAATCCTCTGTTCTGATTGGCTACCTGAGTGGGTAAGATGGGCCCATCTTGCCTGCTCGGGATTGCCTGTATTAATCCCAGGCATGAAAAAAAGTAAATTAGAACTATGTTCATTATTCTTGGACAATTTCAGTAAGGGAAACACAAAAAGCAGCAGAAAAGTCAAAACAAAGAAACAGAAACGACTCTCTTGAGTTTGTTGTGCTACAAACACAGTTGGCTTTCGTTCCTGGCTCTCGAAGTAAACAAGTCATTCTTAATTCTTGATAAAGTGAAATATTTTTGCAAAATAATAAATCCTTTATTAACCAAGCTTGTTCAGTCGAGGTGGCTGGATATTAGCCTTGTTCTTTTTTTGCATTTTATGGACCTCAACTTCATCTCAGTCCATTTTTTCCTGTGAAACATGAAATGGCTTGCTTTTTTCCTCATGAATTGTGATTTCATTAGTAGCTGTGAACTGTGATTTTTCAAAATAATTCCCTTTGAAATGCACCAGAAAATGAATATAGACAAAGAGAGGGTACAAATTCATCCAGGGATTCTGGAGGTGATCAGCTTTCTGAATATGACGAAGACTCCTCTGACGGGAGGGTAGTGCCCCTAGTTATAAACAAAGTAAGGAACTTGGTTTTCTTTTTGCTGAGCCCAGAAAAAGAAGGGGACAAATGGTTTAGACATAAAACAAGGCTGTGCTCTGGGTGTAACTTTTCAAAGATCAACTTATATGTAAGTTTGTATCAAAAAAATGCATTTTGCGTGAAACATGAAATGCCAATTTGATTTCCCATGAATTGTGAAAGGATGGATTTAATTTCTGTGAAATGTGATCTTGACCCCCCTTTACCACTCTCATTCAAAGCTGGGATAAGATAACCAAGGGTCAGTATGAAATCTGACTTAAGATCTGAAAGCTTTTAAAAAGAAAATTTAGTACTAACAACCATGAGATGAGAGATGATAGTTTATTACCAAAAAAAGAAATACTTTGCAACCATAGGCTGAATTCCATACTTTTCACAATTGTTTATAAATATATATATATATATATATATATATTGTGGTAGGAAAAAGACAAGTAAACTACAAGTTCATCCCTACAAGCCTGTTTCGTGGTCGCCCACTCATCAAATCCCCTGATGAGTGGGTGACCACGAAACAGGCTTGTAGGGATGAACTTGTAGTTTACTTGTCTTTTTCCTACCACAATATATACTTCGCTCTACTTCTATGTATTGAGCACTGTTCTACGAAAATCAAGTCACACTTTATATATATATATATATGTGAGACTATATAAAACTACAAAAATATATATATATATATATGAGACTATATAAAACTACAAAATTTACAAAAAGATTCTAAGACCTAAAATAATTACAATTATTAAAAACTGGATCATTGGATAATGCAATTCAAGAATTTTTATTGGCTTAGCCATTATGGTATATCAGCCAATATGCCATAATCTACAAATATGGTAAGCGTACGCATCAGCTTAAAATCGAAAGGGAGCTAAAAAATCCAGTTTCTTCTTACAAAATAATAATTTCTTGGGGGCGTTTTTAATAAAACAATTATTCCACTCGCGCTTGTTGGATATGAGATGGTTATAGCCAACTCGGCGTTACGTGCCTCGTTGGCTATCTATCATCTCATATCCAACGCGCGCTCGTGGAATAATTGTTAATTATACAGCAATGGAATAAAATGCAGTCAACGCTAAGACCCTAGATTAGCTTTTGCACACATAGCCGGAATGAATGAAGACTTCAAACGATCAGTGCGGAAGCATGGCATGTTAAAAATGCACTGGCATCTTGTGTTGGATGCTGAATGATGTCTATCTGGCAGCAAACTGTATAATTTATGAAATGGATTTGAGATGGACAAAAACAGATTCATACATAACTTCTTGAGTGAAGCTAAACCATGCCTATCTAAGGAATCATGATATGACAGTTCTGGTGAAATAATAGATAATGCGCGCCTTTGAACCCTTTCGATGTCATCACTAAGATACACGGGTAACGTATGATGGAATATGTGCGCGGAGAAGACTTCACCCTCGCTGTAGCTGGTCTACATCTGCACTCATAATTCTAGGTCTTTATATTTTGTTTTTCCTATTTAGTAATGCTAAATTTTTTCTATTCTCATATATTGTAATCAGTTCTCTATCGTGAACATTAATATTAATTCTTTTAAAATTTGTAAATAATTAGATATGAGGGTTAAAATTGTAAATAATTGGGTAAAAGTAAAGAACAGCTCCCCTAAAAGTCTGTCGGCCAACTGTCGGCCAATTGTTGGCCGGCAGTATACCAACAGTTGACCGATAGTTGACCAACAGCAAATTGACACTTAAAGTGCCACTACGACGAAAATTTTTGTCCCTGGTTTTGACATTTTTTAGCGCGAATCAAGTTAATATGGTTAGAATTGTACCATGCAATAGTTTTTAGGTCGATGGAAGCGAAATACGCCTTGATATAGCTGGCCGAAATTCACGAAAAACCCGTCCGCCATTACTCAGCTCGCAACCGAGAGCCAGCGACTGAACTGAAAAGCGGTTTTACGCATGAGGTTGCCTGTGACGTCATAAGCACACTTTCGCATCATGCTTCGTGTGTTGTGAGAGATTCCACAGTGGAAATTCTAGGCGTTTTATAAGATGTATTCTTCCTCGAATTCTTCTTCCAAACGGCATACAAATTTAGCCAAGTCTTTTAGGTCGAGCTGCGCATATGACGTCACTTCCGAAGGGCTTCAACTAGTGCCAACTCTTTTTGCCACACTCGGCCATTTTTGAATTGAGTAATGGCGGGCGACCAAAAACGAAAAACAAGATTGAAATAATCATACTTCCCGTGAGAATTTTGCGATTAAACTTGGCAGGGTAAGTGTTTCTTACTTCTAGTTTCCAGAAGTGAAAAGAAAAGGCAATGCGAAATTTTGATCATAGTGGCACTTTAAAAATTTGACAAGTATAAAGACATCACAGTTACTCAACCCTTACCATTCTAGTAGAATCAGTCTCGTGATGTACCACAAATTGAGCTAAAATTGCATCATCGTATGTCCTGGGTAAGTTTATCTATGAAATCGCCCTATAATGCATTGCGGTTTGTTTTAGGGCATCATATATGGACTTTCAATTATCTCTGTCTGTTTGAGTTTTCTTTTGGTTAATATTTTCAATTAGTTTATTATTTTTTACATAGTCACTAGTCAGAGACAATAAAAGCTGCTTACATTTAGTAAAGTTAAAAAAAAAAAGCTGCAAGAAGCCACTGTAAACAATTTTTTGCGAGGATGATGCCATGGGATTGTGAGGGGTTTGGTACCTGAAAAACCTAAACATAGGAGATTGTGTTGAGATTGGTCCCAAAAAAACCTAAACAAAATGGCGGACTCAAGTGAGAAAGTTTCATTTTGTGTCGATATGCAATGTCCGTCCCTGCGAGCGGAGGCTTTTCTGGTATTCAACAGGGGTTCTCAACCGACACTTGGCCAACAAATTACCGACATGCTGCCAACAGTCAGCTGACAAATGGCCAACAGTCGGCCGACAGTCGGCCGACTGTTGGCAGAAGATTTTTGTAAAAGGCGGTAAACGACAGTCGGCCAACTGTTGGCCAACTGTTGGTCAACAGTCAGCTGACAGTTTTTGGGGGAGCTGTTCTTCACTTTTTCCAATAATTGCTATCATTATTATTAAATGAAATGGGCCAATTTTTATCATAATTTTTGTAAATACTTTTAGTGATTATAGTGAATAAAGGTTTTATTTTTAGTTAAATCAAAATGTTTGTACAATTCAGCTTATTATATTTTCTGCCTCAAAATGATCCTTATTTATTTGTATGTGCTTTCGTGCTCATTTGTATGTAAAAAGTGAATTTCCATAAAAAGTATTTTTCAAGGGAGTCTTATATTTTTCCTCTTTGCTGGTTGCATTTTTATTTCACCAAGTCATCCGAAACAAGTGCGGCATGGTAAAATGACATTCTAAACAATAGGCAGAGAGTAAAATTACATGGCCACTCCTGAGTGACATTTCTGATGACACAGTTAATTAAAATTTTTCTTTTGTTTATATGAGATGGTTAAAAACAAAGGCACATGTCAAGAGGAACAATACTAAATTAGCCGTGAAAAATGGCATGTTGTTTAAGTGAGCAAAATAGGCTCGCCAGTGACTGAAATGGTACACAGCTCAAGTAAGTAAATTGACACATTAACTGTGTTAAATGACAGTAGTTGTGTTTGAATAATTATGGTAAACAGCCTTTAAAGACAGACAAATAACCTGCTCTAATCTAGTATGATATCAAGAGTATACCATTCAAATTATTCTTCCCTTCTATGTTCTTTGAGGCAATAGAAAGGAGACAATTACAAAATTCCACATATCAAACGTGTATATGTGCTACCTGCAAAAGCAGTTTTCAGTCTCACTTAGCAGTAGTTTTGGTGTATTATAGTTAAACATTATTGCATTTCAAAGTGGTGTGTGAAGAAGTAGGCATTAATACTAAAGTGGAAGAAGTTTTGTGCTGAAAGACAATGAAATGTTGTTGCTGTGTTGACCTTTGTGCAGGCCAGTGTGAAGTTTCTTTACAATGTGTTGTTATGCAAGTCAGACTCAAGATGTTATTCATAAGTCTGGTCGAACACACAAGTGGGCTGTTGTGAGAGCCACGTCTTTTTGCACAGGTGCCACATGGCATGCACGCCTTTTCTTATGTGAGTTGTATTGCATGCTGAGGAGGTCATTACCACACTACTTGAAGCAAAGCCCAACAAGACTTGCCATGTTGGCATTTTCAATTTGAAGCCTTAACATCCCTCCCCCTCGGGCAACATTAGGGAACTTAAGCAGTCATGACAGCAATGCCACGGAAGACATCAATTAAAAAATGAGTTTCTACTTTAAGTTAGAATTTTGAAAATGGCTGCAAGTGTTTACCGTCTCATAGGGCGCCAGACCTCAAACTCAACATAACGCATAAAAGTGGCGTTGAGTTCCAAATGTAAATTAAAATAATTTGCCGCCGCAGTTTTGGTTCGCAGATGACGCAAATTTTGGTGATTTCACGTTGTTTTGCAAAGGATGGCTAAGACATGTACAAAGTTTTAAAATGCACGTGCTAGGCTATTGTTCTACCAATTACATCTATTGTTTTTCCACGTTCTCGTTGCCGTTGCTGTCGTGTTTTGCTTAAATTCCCTATTGTGCATGCTAGGGGGGAGGGTGGAAAATTTTAACCTTGCCTGGGTAGGGTGAGCCATTTGAACTTGATGAGTGACATCTTTCCAACTTGAAGGAAATACACATGTTTCAGTGGAGGAGTTTAAAGGAGAAGAGTCAGCTTTCTTGAGTGAATGGCCTAGAAAGAAAATTTTTGCATTGGAGAATTTATGCTTACAGGTGAAAAACCCAACAGCAACACCTTTAACTAATACCTGACTTTGCTATCTTCTACAAGTCAACATTTGTTTTATTACACAAAAAATTGTTCAATGTTGGGTATTGAGTGGGGCATTTAGAACTCAATTTTGGGCTAGGAGCCAGGAATTTGAACTGCCTTTTCTCAAAAGTTCAAATGCCAGTGGGTTGTGGGGGCATGGGGGGGATTTTAAAGCTTCAAATTGATCAACACATTAGTGTACAGTTTCATGGCATGTTTTCCAGTGCACTCACCTGAGGAGGATCATTTTGTTTTCTCAACTGAGTTGATAGTGTAAATTGGCCACTGTAAAGACTTCCTAAAGCTGATTTTTCAAGTGTCTGCCCTTTGTCAGAGCAAGTAGAGGAATTGTGGATTGTGTTTGTTTTTTTTTTTAGTTTCTCTAGAAACTTACCCCCTTTATTTATGGAAAACAAAGATTTTTCATAGCGTTTTTTGTGAGCAACTGGAGCAATATGCCTTATTGCCATGGTTGCAATAATTTTTTATGTGATTTGTGGGAACTGGGATCACCTCATGTTTTTCCTAAGATTGAAAATTATTTGAATTTGGAAATCTATGCAAACAGCTTCTCCTTTTCTTGATTTTCTTAGATCACTTTTCTGTTTTTGTTTCTGTTTTTCTGTTTTTGATTTCAAGGCCTATTTTATTGCCAGGGTAATTTACTCTTTAATTTGCAAGGGTTTCAAGTGTTTCAAGGTGCATGTTACAGTAGAAGGGTTAAATTTTGTTCAGGCTCGTGTACTCTCCCCTTTTGTAGTTGTTAAGTGAACTCCTTGTGCTCCTCTTTGTGTAACTTAACAATTGGTAGCTGTCCAAAGTGGACAGTAATTTTTGGGCTCTGTGATCAATTTTTGGTCCATTGTTTAAATCCTTTGTAGCATTTGGCTGAATATTGGGGAAATCTGAGGTTTATTGATGTTCCCTTCTAATATAAAAAGTTATAAAAGCAGACCAAATAGCACTGACATTAGCATGATGTCATCAAACACATATCCTTCACAACAACCAGTGAGTTCTCATTTATTGGAGGCACCTCTCATTTTGGTGGTGCAAATCTACCAAACACTTGTTTTTGGACAACACTGCAGTTGATTGAAAACCACAATTTCATGTTATCCCTGCCATGCAGGGTTTTATGAAGGACTCTGTTGCACATAGAGGCTCTGTGCTTTGGAATACCCTGACTTCCAAATATACTGATCTTGTTGATGCAAACCATCATGAACTTGCCAAAAAACTCAAAACTTCAGAACTTTTTAAGGCCATTAAATTCAACTTAGTATCAGCATCGACCACTAGTTTTGTACTTGAAGATTTTGTATACATCTAAATGTAAATTGTTTCAATTTCACACTTATGGCATTTAATATGCTTTAATTTGCTTAATTCTACTTAATGTTTAGCTGTATTTGATTTTAATTTTAAAAGTAGTATTTTATTGTACACAACCCCACAAGCTTTTATCTTTCATATATATCGTGTATAAATAAAGATAACCAACCAACCAACCCTATAACTCCCAAGATCTGATCATTAATTCTCTCCTCCAGCTGTTACACATTTCTTAAGTTTGTAAATTAGTTACAAGAATTTGGTGTTTGATCAAGATAACAACTTCTGCCTCGTAAGTTTGAGTATTCTTATCACCTGTTTGCTAGATAATGTATGCATATCATAGGGAGAAGTTACATATTAATCAGCTCTGGGAGTTAAAGGGTTAATTTCCCCCCCTCTCCCTCCATTGTTATATTGGTGAGTTTACATGGTGTAGCACTTGCAGCATGAAGGTGTACAATCTACATACATTGTATCAACTTTGTAATGGGGGAGATGGTAGGAAAATGATGGATGTGGATGTGGATTTTCAGATATAATTTAAACTCTTTTTCAAATTGTGTCACAAAATAAGAAATAAGGGTAAGCCATTAACACCAAGATATTTGGATTAGCTTTCAATTGGTGACTGATTTCTGGATAAGAGGTAACTCTGGAGATTTATCAGTAATGAGGAAACAAATCATTGGTTATTGCTGATCTTTTTTACTTCCAATTTTAAACAAACAAGATTTTGGACAAACTCGTGTTAACAAATAGATTAACTGTAAGCTACATGTAATTGTAGAACATACTCTAATGCTAAAGTGAAAGATTGTAAAAGAATAACACATTTAGAACCTTTGTCAGGTTGGAAGTTCAACTTTTTAGTATTTTACCAGCTATCACATTTGACAAAGAATCACATTATTTTTTTCGTCATTCTTTCCTCACAGTATCATTTGAAAATTGATTGAGGGGCCCATGAAATGTGGGATTTGAATTGTTGATAAGGATGTGCTTCTATTAACTTGATTAACTTTTAATGATTTCAGGATGTTTATCTGTAGAGCTCAGACCTTGTGTGGCTTAAAGCTCCCTGTATATCAGTTTGTTGCTGTACAAAGTCTTTTTAACAGGTGTCAAGTCCTCAAGGCTTAAGCCAAATTGTTGGTTGTTCCTGAGTGCTGGTTTTTGGGTCAAGGGAGTCAATCCATGAAGTAACAGGACTGGTTCACTCTTTGAACTCATGTAAGTTGCCTAGTTTCATTCAACACAATAATAACAATAATAATAATAATAACAATAATAATAATAATAATAATAATAATAATAATACAGCATTTGTAGTGTGCAAATTCCATGTGGATATGCTCAAATGCGCATTACAACATATCACTATTTAAATAGTTTAAAACTAAGAGAACAATAATAAAAGGATCACAATATATAGAATAATTAACATATAAAATAAAATAAAGTAATTAATATTAGGCAGGCTATGAAAA